CACGTGGAAACCCTGTCCTTGGGTTTACACCTGAGGGACAAAGCCTGGGACAGAAGGGACACAGCATGGAGGTGGCCAGGGAGATCTGGTTTGGTTTGAGGCCTCCATTCCACCTGGTGATGCTGGAGGGTCCCGTGCAGGTATCTGTGAGGGGTACAGGCCCCTCCACCCTCAGCCTTTGCTGGGGCTCACTGGCTGGTGGAATCAGCACGAGCCTTAGCCGTCTAGTTGCTGGCTCTAGGGGAATTTGACAAAGGACAGTGAGGGGAGAAGGGAGAGGTGGAAACCACCCCAACAAAGCCTGAGGCCAAAGAAGAGTCGTTTGTTCAAGGAAATGTCATCTCAAATTCCGTGCTTGTTGAGCTTCAGTTGGGCCCCACACCTTAAGTATAGCCGGGAGCCCCTCTCACAAGGGCCAGAGTCCCACCCCATGGATGTGTGTGTTGGGGGGGGTATCTGTTAGGCATAGGCTGGAGCCGTGGAGCTGCCCAAGTGCCATCACAGACCCTTCAGCTTTGGTGGACCTTAGGGGGGCCAAGAGAACACAGGATGGAAATGAAGCAAGGGTGGGGGTCTGTTGGGTTGGCAGAAGGCCCCCCCATCTCCCTATCCTCTCAGCTGTTACTGGGGACTGAGACACCATTGCCCATTCCAAGTAGCCCCCAGTGGGCACAGGCATGCAGATGCAGGTTCGTGGAGACCCATTGGCTTCTTCTTGTAGGGAGGTAATGTGGGAGTGGGGCTAGGAGCAAGGAGCCCCTGTCCAGGGGTCCCGGTTATGTGCCTGCCTCCTTCTAGCCCACGACCTGAAGCTTAACCTTCGGGAAACAGAGGCCCAGAAAGGCAAAGGGACTGGCCCAAGGTTGTACTGAGAATGAGATTAGAATCTGGGCCTCCTGCCTCCTGACCCTGTGCTCATTCCCATGCCTGGGAAGATGGGGCTCATGTTCAGGGGACACAGTGTAGTGTCAAGTGTCATGTACCTACATGAGTTAGGCCAGCTTGTAGCAGTAGCCTCATGGCTGGAGCAGTCAGGATGGGCTTCCTGGAAGAGGAGGTAAAATCTGGTTCACCACAGAGGGTGGGTAAGGTGCAGTCTGCCCCTGGGCAGTGGGGAGCAAGTTTGGCCAGGTTGTCATGCCTTCCATTTGTTGAGCCTCTTTGGGGCCTCTTCAATTTAATCTTATTTTGTCCTCATAATGACTTATGGAGAGTTCTTCCCCTCACCCCCACTTTATAGATTTGTTCATTAAATCTGTAAATATCACCGAGCCAGTGCTCTGTGCCAGGCCCCGTGTAGACACTGGGACCCAGCAGTGACCAGGGAGACTTGGCCCTGCCCTGGTGGGCCCACAGTCTGATAAGGGAGACAGCGTGGTGCTGGCCTGGCTGGAGAACAGCTGTGTGGTCTGGGCAGGGTTGGATTACCCAGTAAGCAAGGTAAACCCGTGCTTACCTTGGTTACTGAGTCGTCCGCCCCTGTCAGGGGTTGCAGATTTGAAAAGAGTTTGATTCTGTAGGAAGGTGCTATGGGATTAGAAGAGAGGCAGATGCCAGCCATACCTAGAAGCAGAATCTTTGATGTGGAGAAAAAATGTGAAATTGTTCACTGCAGATGATCTGGTAAGCAAGGTAAGCACCGTGCTTACCTTGGCTACTGGATAATCTGCTCTTGGGTCGGGGGCCAGTTACTTCCCTCTCTGTGCCTCGGTTTGTCATCTGAAAAATGGCAATAATGAATTCCCTTCCTCCCGATAGTTGTAAAGTGCTGAGAACGGAGCTGGGCACACTGTAAGTGCAGTAGCCGTGGGTGTGTCTGTTCTAAGAGTTATCAAAGGAACAAGCTAATTGTAGGTTGTAAGCAAGTGCTGCATAGGATGTAAAAAGGGAGATGACAGGGGAGCTTTGGGGAGCTGGAAACGTTCTGGGTCTTGATGGGGGTGTGGGTTGTCACGGGGTGGGTGTGGTTGTCAATACCCATTGAACTGGACTCTTGAGACCTGTGCATTTTACTGTATGTAAATTATACCTCAGTAGACAAAGCATGCAGATAAGGAAGAATAAAGGGGGGTGAGCGAGGGACCCCTGAGGTCCACTTTAGATGGGTGGTCTGGGAAGGCTTTGAGAGGAGGTAACATCGAGGGGAGTCCTGGAGGATGAGAAGGCTATAGCCACTGGGAAGAAGGATGAGGAAACTGAGGCTCTGACAGGTTTGGGGCTATATCCGAGGTTAACCTTAGGAGTCAGGGGTGATGGCCCAGGGCATTTCCTTGGCAGCTAGGCCAGGGCAAGGTTGGGGATCTTGCTCCTTAGCTGGGCTCTGGCCCCTGTGGTCTCCCCTGCAGTGAGGTCAGTGGGACATTTATCTTGTTTTCTGGGGACAGCCCTCTCCCTGCCCCTCTGCCTATTTTAGGGCCTTGGCACTTGGGGAAGGACTATTTTAATCTCTGTGGAAAATGAGTTCCTAAATATGGGCTGATTGGGGCGGGAGGCAGCGAGAGGCTCCAACTCAGGTCAGCTCCACCTGCTTTGCGATGCTCCCAGCCTGGTGGGAGGGACAGAGACGAAAGCCGACTTGGAGGAGGTGCTGGGAGGACTTTCCAGAGGAGGAGACATTTGAACTGAGCCCAGAGATTCGGGACAAGAGTGCATGTGGCAGAGAGACAAGCACAGGCCTTGGCAAAGGGTCTTGTGAGAACAAGGCCTGTTTGGGAATAACAGGTAGATCATTCTGGCCAGAATGAAAAGGTTTTGGGGGCCAGGAGTAGTTGGAAATGAGGCGAGAGAGGAAGACAGGCCTCTAGCCCAGGGAGGTGGAGGTGGCCTTTATCTGGAAGATAGTGGGGAGATCTTCCGAGTCGGGGAGGGGGTGGTCTGTGGCCGTACCTGGATGAGGCTCAGAGCGGGAGAGGTGGGGGCTGAGGACACCACTAAAAGCATTCTGGCTACGTGCTTGGGGTTTTATGAGACAAGAGAGAGGATGCTGGCATGGGGGTGAGACACCAGGGGCTGTAGGATGGGGGCGCTCCAGGAGCCAGCTGGGGCCCTGACAGGAGATGGTCAGGTCAGGCTGGGGCGGAGGTAGTGAAGGTGGGGGGAGACCTAGGAGGCAAAGCAGGGAAGGGGTGCAGAGAAGGCAGAGCAGGGAGGGAGGAGGGTGTATCTTCGGGTCTTGTGGGCTGAGGACTAGGGCACTCCTGGCTAGAGCCACCTTGGGACGTTGTCTGGGTGGGCTGAGTAGGGTGACTGAGCCCCCTGCCCCAGCACTGTGGGACAAGCAGCTGGTGGTACTGGAGAGCTTTGTGGGCATGGAACTGAAAGGCGTTCTGGGAGGCAGGGGCAGCATGAGCAAGGGCTCTGTGGTGTTCAGGCGGGGAGTGTCTGCTCATAGTAGCCTTCACACACCCTACATCCTGGCCTGGGTAATGGAGCAGGGGCCTGCCCCAGAGCTGGTAGAGGGGCTCACTTCGCCTCTGGCTCCCTGCACTCCCCAACTCCCGGGCTAGAGCTGAGGCGAGAAGCTTCAGAGATGGAGGAAAAGCTGGGGACAGCAGACATGGAGAAGCCATGCTTTCTTCTCCCCTCTCTTAGACACCATCCCAGTTCACCTTTGCCTAGAGAGCTTGGTCCCAGAGTCTGTTTCACACAGCGCCCTGAGTGAAGTGGCTCAGTTCTCCCCATCCTGAAGAGGAGGAAACCCAAGGCCAGAGGCAACCCAGGGTCCCGTGGCTACTGAGAGCATGGGGCTAATCAGAGCCCTGGTCTTGGCCATCAACCCCGGTCCTCAGCCCTCCTCGCCTGGCAAACAGAATGTGCCTGGGCCTTGGGTGGGGGTAGGGGTTTGCCTGAGCTCTCACCGAGTCATTGTAGTAATTCAGTTCCAAACCCAGATCTTCCTTTAGACCAGGGTTTTCCCTGCTTCCAGACCCTACCTCTGGGTCTACACCCTGCGTGCCAGGGTCTGCAGGCATGGGAAGAGGACCAAGCCTGGGCAGCTGGGTCACCTGGCAGTGAGCATGGCATTGTTGTTCCAGCTCTATACAGTGGTTCCCAGGGAGGCTGCGGAGTTGCCTTGGAGTTCGGGGACTAATTGGGCCTCACAAGAGGTGACGACCAAGCAACTCATTTTAGAAGCACTTCTCTCCACAGCAGCGGTTTCATTCCTGCACTCCCTGTCAGAGAATCTGAAGTCTTAATTACCCTTGCTCCTTCAGGGGTGCAGCCGGCACTGTCTCCACTCTGGGCTGGGTTCCTCGAAGCCATGAGCTGTTGAGGGATGAACTGAGGGGTACAGGGCAGGCGGCCCAGCAGGCCTCAACCCCTCCTGCCGGAAGCCTTCCCCGAGGCTCCGGCTCTCCTGTCCCAGTGGGACGTCTATAGGGCAGATTTCCACATCAGCACGTCCCACCCCTTTCCGTAGCCTTTTCTGGTACCCCCCGCTTTGTTTCACACAGAGGCGCTGTATGAGGGTAACAGGGGAGGTGCTGAGGACCTGCTATATGCCAGGTGCCATCCTGTGTACTTTATACACATGACTTCCAATATTGGTCACAACCATGTCATCCCGTTGTAAAGATGAGGAAACTGAGACTCAAGGGATGCAGCCCCTGGCCAGGGGTCCCACAGCTGATGTGTGATTTGACTGTAAAACCCACTCAATTTTCACTTCACTTGCTGCCCCCCAGAAGAGAGGCAGGGGCTTCTTTGATCTCTGAGCCCTTCTAGGCTGTCAGCCCCGTCCCAGGGCCTCCCTGAGCCTTGCTAAGTTGCTTGAGCCCGGGGCTGACCCTCAGGTCCAGAGGCCCCTTGGACCATGAGTCAGGGGAACCTGGATGCGAATCCTCATTCTTTCCCTCATAAGCCGTGTAACCTTGGGCAGGTTACAGGCCTCTCTGAGCTTCTGCATCCTCGTCTGCAAAATCAGGACAGTGGCCCTGTCTGAGTGGCTGCCAGGGAGGTGGGCTGTGGGCCTGAGTCTCTCTGTGCCCACCCACCCATAGCTCCTGTATGACAGCCCCAAAGCCCGGCAGGAGGTGGACCACCACTGGCAGGCGTCGGGCGGCCCGCACATCGTGCGCATTCTGGACGTGTACGAGAACATGCATCATGGCAAGCGCTGTCTCCTCATCGTCATGGAATGGTATGCCAGCCTGCCCTGCCGCAGCGCCCATGGTGCCCCTGCGGCCCCAGGCTCCCAGCATCCTTCTAGAGGCCTTCTCTATTCTTGAGATAGCAGCTCTGGGTGCCACTCCAGACCCTGAGGTCACAGAGGGGTGACTCAAAGTCTGCCTTGGGATGGTAGGTCCGACCACAGGCATTCCCTCAAGGGCTCTAGTATGGTCTCCCTGGGTGTGATCTCCACTTAGTGAAGAGTGACTGGAAGAGCCATCAGGGAAGGCCACCAAGCCCTGAATGTTGAGGATGGGGAGATTTGGGGAAGAGTGGGACACAACACAGCCCCTCTCCTTCCTGCCTGGGTCTGCACTCCCAGGCCTTGCCAGATGCTGGGTGATTGGAGGCTGGAGCCAGGAGCCTGGTCTCCTCCTCCCTGGGCTTCTCTTACTACCACTGTGGCTCTCAGTTCCGGTCTTCCTCAACACCTGAACCCACCCACCCTCCCCCAGTTCTAAGAGTTCCTTCAATGCACCTAAGCTGAGGGCCCACCATGTGCCAGGCTCTGCAAGACCCAGGGAAGGTGATTGTGGCTTTTCCCCGAGGGATATCTGATACCTCCCCACCCTGCTCACTTGCCATCACCTTCTGTCACAGCATGGAAGGCGGAGAGTTGTTCAGCAGGATCCAGGAGCGTGGTGACCAGGCTTTCACTGAGAGAGGTATGTGCATGCAGCTGGACCGGGGTGGGGGGATTTGGGGTGAGGGGGATGGACCAGAGTTACTGAGTGATGCTGAGCAAGGCCTGTCCTTCTCTGTAGCTCAGTCTCCCCATCTGAACAAGAGAGGGTTCTGTGTGCCTGTGACACTGTCAGAGATGGACTCCCTTGAGATGGAGGCCTCAAAGCCTCTTGGTGCTGATCAGTTAGCCCAGGTCTGAGGAAGGAGGTCTGGGTGGGCTGGAAGCAACCCTGGAGGAAACGGGGGTGACTGAGATAGGGGTCTAGGACAGGAGTCCTGGATGACAGGAATGCTGTCACCACTTGTGCTGGCCCACTAGTGTGTGCCCAAGGTGGGTGATAGGAGCGTGGGGACCCCAGGCTGCCGGACCTTTGACTGGCCTCACTGACCCCCTCCCTGCTTCACCTCTGCAGAGGCTGCAGGGATCATGCGGGACATCGGAACCGCCATCCAGTTCCTGCACAGCCGGAACATTGCCCACCGGGATGTCAAGGTAAGGTGCTGGCACCATCCCACTCCAAAACCCTTAATGGCTCCCAGCACCCACTGGATGAAGGCCAGGTTCCTTGGTTGGCATTCAAGACCTCTGCCCCCTGGCTCAGACAACTCTTCGCAGTCGCATCTCCCATGGTTCCAGCGGACTCATTCTGTTCTAGCCAAGTGAGTCTCTTTGTTTCCTTCAAACACTGTGTAGTCTCAACAGCAATAAGATTAACTGAGTGCCTACCTCAAGCCAATAGATGCCCTGATGAGCACCTCACTTAACCCTCACCCGGTCCTGTGAGCTAGGTGCCATTACCCATTTTACAGGTGAGGAATTGGAGAGACGAAGTGACTTGCCCAAGACTGTGCAGCTAGTAAGACACTGTAATGGGATTCATTCATTCGTTTGTTCATTCTTTCAGCAAGGATTTTTGTGTACATGCGCTTGTCAGGCCTGACACTCATGGGGCTTCTGTGAAGTAGCAGCTATAGTTTTGACAGATTAGACCCCCTAATACCAGCATTTTAAGGGAAAGAAGACACTTGCTGGGCACTGGAGGAAGGAACAGAGGCAGTTCCAGTTGCTGGGTTGATTGCCCTTCCAGTGGATGGGCTTTTGGGATGTTCTGATGGCTCAGCTCTCCAAATTTTATATCCTGGCAGGATGGGCCTTAGGGGTCATCAGGATCAGGTGGATAAAATGCAAACCGAGATAGCCCCACACATCTACATGTACACATGCACGTGCACGCACATGTGTGTGTGTGAGCTACCATCAGAGCAGAATCTGTTCCTCCCGGGCCCTTTGCCCCAGGCCTGGAGCATCGCCTACCTTGGCTTCTTTCCTTCTGAGACCTGGGCAGAGGGGAGCTGGGGGCCCAGCTGCTGCATCAGGCCCTTCCTCTGGCTGAGTACTGCCAACCTGCATAACTATCCTTTGATATCAGACACTCATCTTTGGAACTCTTGCTTTACCTTGGCCTTGGCTTTTTTTCTCCAAGGGGAGAAAAATCTTCTGCAGAGGAGAGACCCTTATATAGACTAAACCCACTTCCCTGTTTTCCTCCCAATCCAAGGTCAGACCATCTCGAACAGGACCTGATAAATACCTTCCACTGGCTCTAAACCAGAGCTCCCGCCAATGCCCGTCCTATCGCCCCAGCTCTGCTTGGGGGTCCCTCCTGCTCCTCTCCATTGTCCTAGGTCCTACCCATTCATTAAAGGCTGCCTCCTCCACGCAGCCCTCCCAACTACCCTCTTGGCCTAGGCCTCTCTGTGTTCTGCGACCAGGAAGAACCGCTCTATATGGCTCCTGGAGTTTGAGCAGGGAGGCCTTCTCCCCGAGCAACCTCGTGCAGATCCGTGGGCTGGGTGCAGGATATGTGCTTGGCAACACAGGCTCACGAGCAGTTGGCCTTCTCCCAGCATCCTCATTCTGACATTTCACTGGAACTTTATGAGCTCTGGATCAAAAGTTCCTGCCCCTGGGCTCTCTGTGGCACTCAGTCATGCACAGCCTTGGCTGAACACCTGCCTTTCTTTCCCCTCTGTGAATGGGGGTATCACCCCCTAGCCGCTGTGGTCTTTTCTATATTTGGCCCACGCTGTTGGCAGCCAAGCCCCAGAGATAAACCTGGCACCTTCCCGAATTCAGTGGTAGAGGAGTCCAGCTGAAGATCAGCTTGGGCCTCTGCCTTCACCCTGTGCCTGACTCCAAACCAACATTTTCTCTCCCTGGCCTAGCCCGAAAACCTGCTCTACACATCCAAGGAGACAGACGCAGTGCTCAAGCTCACCGACTTTGGCTTTGCCAAGGAAACCACCCAGAATGCCCTGCAGACACCCTGCTACACTCCCTATTATGTGGGTGAGTCCTTGGTTTCTACTCCCCCACCCCTGCTGTACACCACTGTGGTATGGGACAGCTGGTGGGTTGTAGAATCCAAAGGGTTAAAGCCCAGCAAGGAGGGAGGGGGAAGTTCTTTCTGCACGGAGGTGGGGGGCTGGAGGCTGCAAAAATATTCTCCCAAACTTCAGCTTATGCTTTTGAAAATAGATCCAGGAAAATTCTGGCTGTGGCCTGTGTGCTGAATGACATCACAGCAGCTCTAAATATATACGTGATAAAAGGCTGCCATCAGCTCGGACGGAGCCCAACTGCGGTTGTTTTTCTCTGGCTTTTATCTTCCTGGGATTCATATTCAGGAAGCGGGCAGGCCTTTCCTGCTACATCAGAGGGACACAGGGCACCAGCCACCTGCCCTGTGGGACAGGGTCCCTTAGGCCAGGACACGAATGGGGTCTGGGGTGTGCACATACTCACGCTTCCTGGAAAAGCTCCCTGCTCCCCTGCGAGTGGGCAGCCCCCAGATCTGGAAAAGTCCTTGCTGAAAGTGCCCTTACCTAGGGGGGCGGGGGCCATGACTTGCTTTACAGAGGACTCTTCTCCTGCAGGGGAAGCCTTCCCTGAGGATTGTTTATTGGGCAGGAAGGCCTCTGAGGCAGCTCAGATGGCATCTTGCTTGCCAGGGTGTATTTTGTAGTATTTTAACTTAGAAATCTTCTAGCCTACCCAGCTCATTGCTCAGATGGGAAGACCAAGGCCTCGTGGCTCTGTAGTGGAATTCGGAGCCCCGCCCCCTGCCCTTCCATTCTTGAGACCCAGGGAAGCAAGGGTGGGGCAGCTGTTAGGCTGCTGCCTTCTCACCTCTGGCAGGACCCCACCTTTACCCTGGAGTGGCCTCCTCCTCTCCTCCTGTGACAAGGCTGAGACTGGCAGGGGAGCTGAGGGCCCAAAGGAGCTAGGGGGCTGTCACTCCTTACAGCCTAGCCTGGAAGCGGGCTCGTTTTTTGCGGGAGCTGTTTTTCCTCCCTCCACTTCACACACATGCTGCCTTCCCAGAAGGTGCCAGACGCCAGTCTGCTCGGCCCCATCCCCCAGTCAGGGCACCTGCTCCCTACCTTGCCCAGGCCTCAGGCTTCTGCCTGGGCTCCAGGACCCCTGGGACTGAGAACCTTTCTCTGCCCCCTGCTCTGGCAGCCCCTGAGGTCCTGGGTCCAGAGAAGTACGACAAGTCATGCGACATGTGGTCCCTGGGGGTCATCATGTACATTCTGTGAGTGCCACCCCTGCCCCACCCCCCCACCCTACACCCTCAGTACCTGCCCCCACACACTCTTGGTGAGGGGCTTGAGTGAGTCATTCCTTGTTTTGCCTACCCTTCTCTGGTCACAGGACCCCCCCTTTCAGGCTGCCTATCAAGGGGCTCCCCCTGCTAAAGGCAGATGGTGTTTCTGGGATGTGTCTGGGAGTCCCAAGAGCTGGGATTATTGCCAGGGTGTCCGTCTGCCTGTCTCCCTGGTCAAGGGCTTGGGGAGGAGAAAGGGTCTGCCCTGGCACTGTTCCCCTCTACTGTGCCAAACGACCTCCACCTTCCCCTAGCCTGTGCGGCTTCCCGCCCTTCTATTCCAACACGGGCCAGGCCATCTCCCCAGGGATGAAAAGGAGAATCCGCCTGGGTCAGTACAGCTTTCCCAACCCTGAGTGGTCGGAGGTCTCTGACGATGGTGAGTAAACCTCTGCCCAGTCTGCCCACCTGGCCCCCTTGGCCTCCAATCTGAGAGACGCCATTTTGGCGTCAAACTGGCCTGTGTTCAAATCCTAGCTCCCTACTTCCCAGCTGTGTGACTAGGCAAGTCATCTAACCTTTTGAGCCTCAGTTTCTATATCTGCCAAATGGACACAAAACTTGCCTCCTCAAAACCCCCTCTAACTCTCATCTGTCATTCATATTTTCCCCTCTGGGGACCACAGACAGGTCTGCCCCATGTTAGTATCTGTTGCTGCTTAACAAATTACCCCGAACACTGGTGGCTTAAAACAATAAACATCTGTTAGCTCACTGTTTCTCTGGGTCAGGAATTTGGGGGCAGCTTAGCTGGGTGTTTCCGAATCAGGGTCTCTTGTGAGATTGCAGTCAAGGTATCAGCTGGTGCTGCAAACGTCTGAAGATTTGAGGGGGGGCTAGAGGATTCACTGCCAAGGTGACTCACTCCCATGGCCCAGTAGGCTGGTTGAGTGTCCTCACAACATGGCAGCTGGCTTTCCCTAGAGCCAGCAATCCAAGGAGAACAAGGAGGAATGTACCACTGCTTCTGCCATACTCTGTTGGTCACAGACCAACCCTAATGTCACATGGGATGGGACTACACAAAGCCTGAATACCAGGAGGTGGGGATCTTTGGGGACCTTCGTGGAGGCTGATGACCACAGCCCTCCTTTCCTATGACAGCCTGTCAACTATCACATTCCTCCCCCTCCCTGGGATTCTTCTCTGATCTCTGCCTACACATTTCCCCACTCGCTCCCAGTTACTCGGTTATGTGCTGGCCACAGGGGATGCAGTAGTGAGATGAGGCACATGCAGCTCCTGCCCCTACAGAGCCTGTGGTCGGGCCACTGGCTCTGAGGAATACTGCAACCTTATCTCTCCCCTCTCCTCCCTGGCCTCCCTAGCCAAGCAGCTGATTCGCCTTCTGCTGAAGACAGACCCCACAGAGAGGCTGACCATCACACAGTTCATGAACCATCCTTGGATCAATGTGAGCGCTTCCTTGTCCTGCAGTGGGCAGGGTGGTGAGCAGGAGTGGGGCTACCAGGGCATTGACGTCCAGACCTGGAGATCCTGGCATGGGGCTGGAATGAGTCTGTGTGCACGCAAGTATAGTAGCATCCCACCTACAACCTGGCTGTCCCACTGCCCTTCACCTCCTCGAGCCTCAGTTTCCCTATCTGAGATGAGGAGAAGAGGTGGGTGGTAGGGGGGGCCCATACTGTCTCCAGTGCCTCCAAGTTCTAACCCTTGGGCTCGGGACTCTTTCCAGCAATCGATGGTGGTGCCTCAGACCCCACTTCACACAGCCCGAGTGCTGCAGGAGGACAAAGACCACTGGGATGAAGTCAAGGTAGGTGGGCCCTGCCTCAGTCTTCCCATAGGTTCCAGGGCTTTTGGAAGAGAGACTCCAAGGCAGTGGCTACCCAGTGTCTGGGCTTTTGGCTCCTCTCCGTACCTGGAGCACAGGGTGTCTATGACTGCCCAGTGGCCCAACCACAGCTCTCAGAGCACAGGGTCACACTGCCCATTCAGGGTGGTGCTCCTGGCTCACTCCCTCAATGAAGGGAGGCTTTGGACTAGGGTCTTTGTGAAGGGGCTTTGACCCCAAGCTTTTGCCATACCTCCTTTTATAACCAACATTTGGGAGGGTGGTCAGCCTGGTTTTAGACCCAGCAAGGCCTGGGTTTGACTATATAGGGCAATAGCTCAGAGCCCTGGGGCACCCAGTGCACAATCTCTAGGCCCCAGTGCCCTGAGTACCTATCATGATGGCGCCCCCAGGTCCCAGCCCTGCTTACCCTCTGTGTGATCCCAGGGAGTCACTCTCCTTTCTGTGCCTTAGTGGATAAGCACATGCCCACCACAAAGAACCGTTGTGAGGATTCTGTGATACAAAGGGCTTGACTCAGGGCCAGGCATACACTGGGCATTTGGACAGTGCAAGCTGTCATTGCAGGAATGTGGTGGCTCTTGAGGCCATTATATCCTGAGCTCTGAGCTCCCTGTCTGTCCCTAGGAGGAGATGACCAGTGCCCTGGCCACCATGCGGGTGGACTATGACCAGGTGAAGATCAAGGACCTGAAGACCTCTAACAATCGTCTCCTCAACAAGCGGAGGAAAAAACAGGCAGGCGGCTCCTTGGCCTCACAGGGCTGCAACAACCAGTAGCTCACGAGGTCATGGAAGAGCCAGGCCTCTCAGCCTGGGGGACAAACTGGAGCGTGCTGAGGCCCTGGCCAGAGGGCCCAGGGTTATTTTTTTAAAAAAAGGACTATTTTGCTGTGTTGTAATTTTTCACTTGGAATTTCAGGGTGGGGGCCCTGACCCAAACCTCCTTCAGAGCGCTAGTCTCAGCCCAGGCCCTAGGAAAGGGCCAGAGCCTAGGGGCTGGAGAGTCACCTGCTGCAGTTGCAGTGCCTTTGGCCAGGGTGGCCTTAGTGGCACCTTGGCTCTGTCCCATCCTGGAGCATGACCTCAGCCTTCTAGACCACTAGGAGTTGTGGCTAGGCCTCTCATATTCCATAGAGTACCCCCAAGGGGTGTGTAGACCTGCCTGGCCTTGGGAAGGGCATCGGCCACTGGTTGCCATGGTGACCGGGGATAGTGTTGCTGTCTGTGAATGCTGAGTGAAGGAGGGAGGGAGAGGGGCAATCAAGGGTCCGTACCTGTCTTCTTGGGAGGCTGATCTCTTTCACACTGGGTCTCCCCTCTTAGGCTCGCCCCTCTTTGGCATCCCTCGGTAGTCCAGCCCTGCCTTGCCGCACTCCCCTTCCAGATGGCCCTCAGAGGTCTCCCCCCATGGAGTCTCCGGGCCCAGCCATCCTGTCACTGCCCCTTGCCTGAAGGGTGATCTCTCATCTCAGCTGAGAATTGTGGGGTGGGGTGCTTTTAACCCTTTTCCACTTTGGAAAATGCCACTGTGACAGAAGCCACTTGCTTACCGGATCCCAGGCAGGCAAGCCCCTCTTGGTACCTCCATGTGAGGGCTCATCCTCTGCCCTGTCCTAGGAGATGGCAGGGGCTGCCTCTTGGTGTACTCTCGTGGGAGTGTTCACGACTGTGGGTGCCTGGGGGCAGGGTCAAGAGACTCCCCTTTAATCAAGGTCTCTTTCTACACTCCGGATAAGGCCTGAGGTGGTGGAGGGCTGCTGAGCAATGCTCAGAAGGTCTGGTCCTGGCTTTGGCCCGCGTTGGGGCAGAGGCACCTTCCCTCTGGGTCCCCGTTTACCGAGCCCCACCCTTTCCAGAGCAGCCTCAGAGTACCAAGTGCCTGATATGGGCCTGACAAGTGCCTGACACCCAGCCTGCTTCCTGGCCCCTCTCTTAATGGCTGGGAAACTCCAGACCACGTCAGATAGGACAACACTGCTGGATTTTATATCTGGATATTAATAAATACCATTTTGGCACTTCCCACTGGTTCCTGGGTTTCTGTTTTTCTCAATGGGCCGACACAACTGGCCCAAGGGCAGCTGCTCCCACCCACTGGATTTCGTCCTGGCTGGAGAGGGTGCCTCAGACCTGGTAAACACATCAGGCTGACTCTAAGGTCACCGTGGCCCAGACAGGCTTGGAAAGGTCAGAGGAGCTGCAGGATGGCAGCTGCATGCCACCATCTCTGCACCACCCCCAAGGCACTGTGTGTGTGACACCCACCTCCGGCCCCGTGTGCACCAGCGTCTGCCCACATCGGCCACCCCCAGCTGCGTGCCAGCCTGCTGAAGGCCGGGCGGGCGGAGTGCCTGCTGCAGCACTGAGCTATTTTCAGAAGCTGCCAGATTTCATTTGGCAGCGAGAGTGTCGGGGAGGGGAGGGGGCGGGACGCTGGAAGACTCTTTTGACTACTCCAGCAACAGAGAACCCTCAGCCCTCGGGGGCCCTCGCAGGCAGCCTCAAGGGGGCTCTGACTGTGGCATTTTTCCCCTGCTCCTCTCTCAAAACCTTCCAGTCTTCTAAGAGCTCTTCTGGCAACCGCAGCACTCCCTCCCCCGCCCCCTTTCCCTCAAGGCATGGGGGAGGGTGCCAAGATGGTAGCAGGTGGGGGATAGGCGAGTATTCCTGAAATGTTCCGCTGCTTCCTAGCCTGGTGACCTTGGGCAACTACCCCAGCCTCTCTGGTCCTAGTTTCCTCGATTGTATAGTGGGGATGATAAGCATGCCCGCCTTGGAGAGTCATCTGGGGATTCAGGCAGATGGTGTGTGTAAAGTACTCAGTAGGGTTTGTGGTGAGTGCTCATGCGCAGCGTCCATCAGCGCCCCCCTGCATCCTTGGAGAAGTACCTAGAGTTGTCCAAGGGAGAAGCTACTCAGCTCCAAATCTACCTCTGGGACTTTCCTACCAGGAAATCAGGCCTTCTCTGCCCATGGGGTCTTAACTCCCAAGGGCCTGCTCTCCAGAGCAGCATCCCTTGGGCCTCCTGGACCTCAGTTCCAATCTTGGGCGTTAAGAAGGCCAGTCCACCCCTCTGAGGGGCCCTTGAGCTCCCTGCGTGAATTCTGGCAGCCCCATGGGGCCTGCCGTTCAGGCCAACCCTCCTAGCATACTTGTTTTTCACCAAAAGCAAAGGCAGATATAGTCCATGTAGCAACAAAGTTGCTGAGGCACTGATGGACTCCCTCATTTGTCTACCAAGCACCCACTGTGCCCTAGGCCCCATGCTGGGTGCAGGGGAGGTACAGCAGTGAAAGCTTCAGATGGGCCTCACGTCAGGGAGTTTACACTTATGAGAGAGAAGGACAAAACATCACAAAACACATGTTGAACACGACCTTGATGCTGTCTATGAAGGAAGGACGTGGGGGAAGGAGTGTCATGGGGCAGCATAAGCCAAAGGGGGAATTGATGCACCCCAGTGACTGGGAAGAGTGCTTGGCTCCATCTGCCCCTCAGCTCTGCTTGTCAGTGCTTCTCTCTGTGGTTGGCCTTGATCCTTCACCCACGCTGGCCTTCTGCATGTGTAAGGCCATGGCTGCAGTAGTCCCAGCTGGGAGGGCATCTGCTGAGGTATCTGCATGCCGGTCCCAGGGAAGGATTCTGATTGGTCATACTTAGCCTGTTGCTATTGCAGGCAGCCTGGAGGATAGGAGGGAGGAGCATGCCCCTTCTGTGACTGGGGGGTAGGAGTGGGCAGCAAGCAACAATTAGCAGAGGAGAGGATGGCAGAACAGCCCTCCTTATCTCCCGTGTCTGCTTGGTCTTCTCCAAGAGCCTGTAAGGAACCTGGTGCAGAGACAAGCCCAGCTCAGGGCCTGGCCCCCACTCTCCAGAATCAAGTGCAGCTCTCACACGCCAGGGCTGGGAGACTGCATGCCTGACCGAGTCACACTCCTCCTTGGGCCTCAGTGTGGCTGTCTGTGAAATGGGAGCAAATCCTTGATAAGCAGCTGGAATCAGGTAAGCTAAGCCAAGTGGTGACACGTTCACATCAGCCTGTCCAGGCACACAGGCATTTTTACTGGCTCTGGGGTGGCTTCCCTGGGAGCTTTCAATAAGGAATCCCTTGAGTAGTGTGTGCAGTGCACACATGTGCGTGTGTGAGTGCACGTGTGTGTGGGGTGGGGGGTGTTTCTTCCCAGGGGTGCTCTCCTACCCTGCCTGTCCTGTGAACCCGGTGCTGGCCAGCTTTCAGCCGCCCGCCTCATTACGATTCCATGCCAGCCCCTTGCAGCCCTCAATTCAGCACCGTCAGTGCAGCGTCAGAGTTGAGCCTCAAAATGCAGCCTCTGCAGGGGTCTCAGTGCTTCTGGGCCTGTTTGAAACTCTCTGGCAGGCATGGGGAGGGGGCATCAGGCCCTGGTGGCTGTCTTTGGGCCTGACTGCCTTGGGCTGAGCCTTTGCATCCCTGGTGGGGCCTCACAGCTGCCCCCAAGCCCAGCAGTGTCAAATTCTTTCTCTTGTCTGGCTAGGCAGCCAGCATGCCCACCCCTTGGAACCATTGAGGCTGACAGGCAGGGAAAGGTCTGGGAATTTTATCTTCTATCCTATGTGTGGGGTAGGATGGAGTCGTTTAGAGCCAGGAGACCTGAGCTTCAGGTAACACTAGGCCTTGGGCAAGATGGTTTCCCTTTCTGAGGTTCTCTATTAGTGAAATAAGGCACTGACAATCAGGACTAGATGCTTGCCAGCATCCTCAGCAGATGTGTCGTCACTGGTTGATGGGTTGTAAGGGACACTCTGTGGTCTCAAGCAGATCATGCACCTCCCTGGGCCTTAGTTTTCTTACCTGTTAAACAGGAGTAACCTTGACAATGGTGGGGCAGGGCTGGGGTAGAGAAGGGAAGAGGGGCAGCCAGACCTGAAGGCTTTGGTCACCAGCGAGACCCAAGTGTCTGTTAGGTGGTGTGCCAAGCTGCCCAGGACTCTGTTCTGTCCTTTCTCCATCTCCCCTGACCAGAAGGCAGTGGGCGACTCAAGGGACTCAGAGCAACTAGGGGTTGGAGGACAGGGCAGGTTAATTGGGGTGTGGGGCCGCCTGTTGGTCATCTGGGTGAGTATTCAGTGGACGCCAACTATGTGCCAGAGCCTGAGGAAGCTGTGGTCCTGCCTGGGGGGAGGTCGGGAGGAGGGGAGAGGACTGCAACATCATAATGAACAGCTGCCATTTGCTAAGTGCCTGCTATGCACTGGGACTGTTCTGGGACTGCACATGGATCATCTCCCTTAGTCCTCACAGTCCCATCTTACAGGCAGAGAAACTGAGACCCAAGCTCTTAGACACTGCTGGAGGAGGCCAGAGGAAGGAAATGCTATTTTTGGCTGGAGACAATCATAGAAGGCTTCCCAGAGGTGGTGACTTGTGAACACAAAGGGAAAGCCAGATTTGGATAGAGAAAGATTTGGGGAAAGGGCATTCCAGCTAGCAGATACAGGGTGAGGCAGGTGAGGAGGCAGGAATGGCATGTACAGGTACGAACGGAGAACAAGTCTATTTAATAGACGAGAGGTGGTCATGGGCAAAAGTTGTCTCGTTTTCTGCTGCAGGGGCCATGTGGATGAAGCAGATTATGCCTCCACCTCCAGCATTCATCTGTGTTCACAGCAAGCCAAGGAGCAATCAGTCCTCAGATCTGGCAGGGACTGTCCATGCAGAAATGAGGCAGGCCCTTTCAGATACCCTGTAGAGCAGCCTTCCGGTACAGAGACCCTCCCCAGCCTAGCCTCACTTCCAGGTGATGGGACCTTGACTCAGGGGCCATGTCTCCCCACCTAGGCTGCTGGGGCTGAATGGAAGCATCCCTTGGAGGCCGTTAGGGTTCTTTTTTTTTTTTTTAGCAGTGGATGGTGTGTGTGAATAATCCAGCACAGCCAGTTTTTCTGTACACAGGTGACCAGATTGTTATTTCTTTTTTTGTTGTGCTTTAGATAAAGGTTTACAGAGCAAATTAGTTTCTCATTAAACAATTAATGCATATATTGTTTTGTAACATCGGTTGCCAACCCCATGACATGTCAACAGTCTCCCTTTCTTGACCTTGGATTCCCTATTACCAGCTTTTCTGTCTCCTCATGCCTGCTCGTCCTTGTCCCTGGTCTGGTATGCCCGTTAATTCCCATTTTGTTTTATGGGCCTGTCTAATCTTTGGCTGAAGGGTGAACCTCAGGAGAGACTTCAGTACTGAGTTAAAAGGGTGTTTGGGGGCCATACTCTCGGAGTTTCTCCAGTCTGTTAGACCAGTAAGTCCGATCAGGGTTCTATTTCTTGAGCCACAGGGCCCATCAAAGAAAAGCCATGTAAGTGAGGGGCTGGGCTACTTAACTCTGGGCCTGGCCTGCCCCAACTGCCCCTTGGAGCCTCTAGGACAGACAGTCCCCTCAGCACCATCAGGTTCTGTACCTGCTGTACGTCAGACTTATGTCATACTTGACCTCTTTTACATTTCTGTTCTTCCAATAGCCCTCCTAGGCAGGGGTTATGCCCATATTGCAGACGAAGGCACCAAGGCTCAAATGGCACCAAGTAGGTAAAGTACCCAGGTTTGTACAGATGGTGCATGGCACAGCCAGGGTCTGGAGCCTGGGGTTCCGCAATCCCCTGCATAATAGGAACATTGTCCCTGCTTTAATGAGTCCCAACCCCATCAGACCCCTGCCCTGACCTAACCTTGCTGGATGCATCACAAATCTGCCCCTGGCTTGCCCTGCTCTTCTGTGCCCCTGGCAGATGGAGGAAGGGCTCTTGGGGCAACCTCCCAGGCCCTCCGGTCCCTGAGCCTGGGCAAGAGTGCTGGGCACCTCTCAGAATGGTTTAAAGTCAGGGCACTTCCCTGCGGACGAGACAGACATTGGGCCCAGGTCATGCAGCCCAGCATCCCCTCCCAGTTCTGCTCTCTGACCTTGGATAACTCCCTTAACCTCTCTGAACCCTGTTTCTTCATTAGAACACGTGGACAGCAATGTATTCCCTTTGGGCTGTGAGGCAAACTCATTGCTGTCGAATCGATTCCAACTCACAGCGGCCCTGTAAACAAAAACAAACAAACAAACAAAAAAACCCATTGCTGTCGAGTTGTTCCTGACTCATAGCAATCCTATAGCTCCCAAAAAATGTCACCTCCCACAAGAGACTGTGTGGGGCATAATGGCGTGCAGGGAAGTGTTGAGTCGCAGGTTAAAAGCCCTCAGGAA